TAAATGATTATCGGATATTCTCAAATAAAAATGTTTTGAAATTCTAAAACATGAATTTAAAAGAATTTTAGGAGTGAATATTACTTAATTGATATGATATTTGGACTTTGTTTTTATTTATTATTTTATTTTTACTTTTTTCACATCATTAAATATCTCTTTAAAATTCAAAATTTAGAATTTTTTATCATTACTGATATATTATTTCATGATATTATAGTCGGTGAGAGAAATTATTAGTTAGTCGTAGGATATTATCATATGGTATTTCATTGGTATTGTGATTGGTTAAAAAGATAAAACTCATAAATTTGTATTGAGTGATTGAAAAATGTAAGAGAATATTATAAAATGTGATTGGTGGAGGGCATAATCACGTAAAGCCCCAAAATCAATCAATAATTTTTCCTTAAAGAATATAATGTATTATAATTTTATATCAGATGATTAAGAAATATAAAATAATATATTAAATAATATTTAGTGAAAGAATATAAACACATATTATTCCAAAATAGCTAATAATTTTCTATATCACATGACCATCAAATTACAATTAGTTTGGAATTTTTTTTAATATTAAAAATATAAGGTGATAAAAATATGAATAATTTTAAATTTTTTAATAAAGAAATGTAAAAACGAATAGAAAAAATATTTACTTTTTTGTATGACTTCATAATTTTTTTAGATAATTACAAATTAGAGACAATTTATTAAATAATTACATATTCATAATAAAATTTATAAATTTAATTATTAAAATTTATCACTCATTTATATATATATATATATATATTTTTAAAACTTGGATTGATTTGTTATTTTTCCTAATTTTTTTTTGATTAAAAACCTTGCTTCCCAAACACATCTTAAAATGCACTAAAATTACATATAAATTTCGTAATTTTTTTCAAGTTTAAAATAACTTGATTGGTTATATAGGACATATCATGAGTTTTATTTTCATAATTTAAATAAAAAATACGAGAGATTCTAACAAAATTACTAAATTTTTTATTAGTGTTTGGTAAAAAAATTTGATTTTATCAGGATCCCTAGCATTGCTCAATTTGAACCGTTCATTTTGTTTAAAAAGTCAACTAAAATAGTCAATTTCCTAAATGAGACCTATGAAAAAAATTAGGCCAACAATTTTATTTTATTATGTTTGTCTTAGAAAATGAATATTCTATTTAAAAAACTTAATTGTCGTTCATTTCTTTAAAAATAAATGTGATAAAAGGAAAAAAATTATCATCAAATTGACCTAATTTTTTCATCAATCGTATACATTGAAAATTACAAAATAAAATATTCAAATTATCAAAATGAGATCTATAATAAACTCCACATATCCTTCACATTCTCTCAAATTTAAATTTAAAAGAAACCTATTGCAGGGCGCAAATAGTACTTTAATTAAAGTATGTCACTAGCTTTCCTCCGGTCCTAAATTAGACTGGAAGGTACTGTTAGGTCCGTAGGGGGTCATCGCGGTTCCCGTTTCGATAATACAAACCGTTAATGTGTAGAACTCATCAAGTACTATATGCATGTAAAAAAATCACGTAGATCGAATATCGATAGTTACATGATCAAATTAGTTTTATATAAAAAAATGGATGGTAAAAAAATAAATGATTGACAAAAAAACTGATCCGATGAGATAGCTATTGATATCCGATTAATGTAATTTTTTACAAGCATATAGTACTCGACAAGTTTTACACATTGAACGGTTCAAATTATCGAAACAGATCTGTGATGAGTCTCCACGGGACCAATAACACCTTCCAATTCGATCTCAGATTGGAGAGAAACTAGACTCTTAAGCCCTGTTTGTTTCACTGGATATAAAATGGAAGATATAGTATGATGTGAGATTTAGTCAGGATATATAATGAATAGGATATAGGCATTAGATAATATATCCTCCAATTCATATTTGTTGACTTGATATATAAGATTGGAATAAAGGTTGAGAGGGTCACCCCCTTGACCCTCTTTAGTTTTGATTGGTCAATTTTTTTTTTTTTTTTTTCTTCTCACCCAATCCCCAACCTCCATGTGTGTGAGGGGGTTGTGGGGGTGGGTGTTTTAAGGGGGTCTAAATCAATGCCCTTTTAACCAAACACATAACTCGAAATTCCATACTACTTTCACAACTCTACACTCAAAGCATAACCAAATACATAACAAAAAAATTAAAATATTTAAAAATATTTGTATAAAATAGAGTTTGAATTTTTTTTTTTATAAAACATTTTAAAATTTAAAAAATTTAAATCGTAATATTTTAAATTTAAATTGTAATATTTTAAAATTTAAATCGTAACAATAATATCATTGCCTTATTTATTTATTTTTTTGCCATATTTATTTTTATTTATTGTTTTATACATTAATTATTTATTTTTTGCCTTATTTATTTTTATATTTATTGCCTTATTGAGGTAACTCATAACCAAACACATAAATCGAAATTTAAATAATTTAAAATGTTAATATTTTAAATTTAAAAACAACTCTACATTCAAGTCGTAACCAAACACATAAAATGAAACTCAATTAATAAATTATTGAGGTAACTCATAACCAAACACATAACTCGAAATTCCATACTACTTTCACAACTCTACACTCAAAGCATAACCAAATACATAACAAAAAAAAAAATATTTAAAAATATTTTTATCAAATATAGTTTAAATTTATTTTCATAAAATATTTTAACAAAAAACAAAAAAAATGTTTTTATTTTTTTTTCCAACTTTCTTTGTCTTTCCTGGTAAAAAGCCTGATTTTTTTTTTTTTTTTTTTTTTACTTTGCCGCCCCTCTTTCATGTGGGGGTAGTATGGTAAATTTACTTGTCAAATTGTTACAGCCATGCTCCCAACTTTCTTTTGTCCATTTGTGGCTAAATTAGCCACTTTTGTCATTTAGAGCATCTCCAACGGTAATAGGCATTTTACCTATCTGAATATTATTATAAAGTATATATTTTATTTTGCCTATCGACTGTTTTATGTTTTTACTCCAACCATGCTCTTTATTTTAGCTATGTATCCAAATATTATTAATTTTATAGAATGCCACGTCAACAACAAAGATGGAGGGAAATGATCCTAGTGATTGAATACATTTTGCCTAGCATTGAATGCTAGTTACATGTAGCTAGTGAATATGAGTTGAGGCAAAATGCCTAATCATATGCCTAGTGCATTGGAATTGAAAAAAGTGAATCACACTAGGCATTTTAACTAACAAGTATTATATGCCTAGTGCATTGGAGATGCTCTTAGTGGCTAATTTAGCCCAAACCCAACTTTCCAAACGCAGCATGTATATTCTCCACTTTTGGGGATATACAATCCCATGAAATATTATATATTCTTTAAAAAAAATTACAAATATAAAATATGTAAACCTCACATGATAAAATATTCAATCCCACTTTTTATACTCTGCCTCTGTTTGGCAAGATGGTTTTCAGGCTTTTTTGGCTATTTTAGCCACAAAAAACAAAATAGGCTATTTTAGCCATAACAAACAAAACATCACATCCAACCTATAATCATTACATTCTTCTCTCACAAAAAAAGTCAAAAAAGCCAAAAAGCCAAAAAGCCCTTCCCAAACCAAGCTTTTTAGCCCAGTCTAAAATAGCCAAAAAAGCCAAAAAGCCAAAAAGCCAACCTACTTCCCAAACCAAGCCTCTAGAATCAAACACGGCCTTAAAGTGTGATGCTTACATAAGTTTTAGGCTAAGTTTGGGAAGACTAACCACCTCACTAGAGCACTATTTAGAACTCTAGTATTAGATCTATGTATCATCACTTTTTTTTTTTTTTTTTTTACTTTGCCGCCCCTCTTTCATGTGGGGGTAGTATGGTAAATTTACTTGTCAAATTGTTACAGCCATGCTCCCAACTTTCTTTTATCCATTTGTGGCTAAATTAGCCACTTTTATCATTTAGTGGCTAATTTAGCCCAAACCCAACTTTCCAAACGCAGCCTGTATATTCTCCACTTCTGGGGATATAATATCCCATGAAATATTATATCTTCTTTAAAAAAAATTACAAATATAAAATATGTAAACCTCACATGATAAAATATTCCATCCCACTTTTTATACTCTAGAATCAAACACGGCCTTAAAGTGTGATGCTTACATAAGTTTTAGTTAATGGGTGTCGTTAAAAAGCATTCCATGCATACCAAAATAAAAAAATAAAAAATTCAGATGATATTACACACTTTATTAATTTCATAACTCTTTACCTAGTTTAAAAAGAATTAAACTATTCATTATTTTAAAATTATTTTTTACAAGCTTCAAATAATATTTATGAAACATTTGTTAACATTTGCCTTAGTCTTTTTTTAACTATTTTAGTCAAAAAAAATAAATAAATAAAATAAATAAAAAATTAATAAGATAAAACGTTACATTTAAACTATAATCATATTATTTTTCTTTTACAAAATTCAAAAAACAATAAAAAAAATCTATTCAAACGAGACTTTTTAACCATATATTAAAATAGCTAAAAGCTAAAAGGTCAAAAAAACCAACACCATTCCAAACAAATCCTATTAATTGCATTACGTGACCCTCACATAAAGTATTTAAGAAAACCTCACAAAGTATTTAAAAGGTGTTGGACAAATTTATCTTATTTTTCGCTAAATAAACTACTCCTATGAGACATGAAATTCAAATGGAAGCCAAATACATAATGCTTTGGATTTTATAATTAATAATATTTTATACAAATAAACGTGTTAAAATATCTTTAATGTTTTTCAATATCTAATTTAAGGTTGTCATAAATATTTTTCATATATTTTTAAACAACAATTAGGGAGAAAAACTCCATTGAATTTCAATGTAGGAAACTCTTGCATACAATTAATATATAAATTAAAGAATTAATACCAAAATGAAACAGATGCTCTATTTCAAGGACCATTTGTGTAATTAACTCGAAAATTAATAGCAACACTTATCAGTAACTGAATAGAAGAACAAAATCCATATGATAAAACCACAACCACATACATGCTGCTGCTGCTAGAATGAGCAACAAGTTAAACATTAAACTCCCTATGAAATTAATTAAAAATTAAATTAAACACCTGTCCAAACGGTAACTCATAATAATACCATAATATAACTCCAAAAATAAATAAACAAACATGAAAAATCCCAAAATATAAAATAAAAATAAATAAATAAATAAACAAACCTGGTGCAAAATTACCATCTAGGACAAGAAAACCGAGACAATAACAATGGCTGACACTGTCACTATCCCTTTCAACAATGCCGGAGCTTCCACGTACACGGCGGCGGAACTATCCGACGTGCTGTTCTCCGCCTTGATCGGGGCCTCCGCCGGAGATACCACCGGTGATTCCATAGGCGGCGCCGGAGGAGACATCACCGACGCCGGAGCCACGGCAGGTGTTGGAGCCTTGTTCGGAGACGGCGTCGGCGACGTCACAGGTACCGGCGCGGGAGCTGGCGACGGCGAAATTCCGAACAATTCCGGCGGAAGAAGCACACTGTCGACGGTGAAAATGCAGAGCGGCGTGGAGTCAAGCACCGTGGTGGCGACGCGAGAGGAGTCGTACCCAGTCTTGAGAGTGACCTCGTCGCCGGAGGTCTCCGCCGTCAAATCGAACTTTCCGGCGGCGCTGGTGGCGAGAGTAGTGAAAGGATTTTTCGTGGTCTTCAAAGTTCCGATCGGAGCGTAACTAGAAAGAGCGTGAAATTGCAAGAGCGAAACCAGATCAGCGTTCGATAGCTTGCTCAGATCCGGCACATTGGCGGCCTTAAACGCCTCATCCGACGGCGCAAACACCGTCAATCCTTTATCCGCCGCCGTCTGATAAACCTTCAACACGCCGGTCTTCAAAATCAACGCCGCGAAAGTCTTGCACCCAGCCTTCTCCAGCAAAGCCGTAATGTTCAGATCCGAAGCCGACGGAGCCGGCGCCGTCAACAACCCCGGCGCGATGATCGGCTGGCTGATCTCTAGAATCGATATGTTGTACGGTACTTTCTTCACCTCTTTCGTGTAAGTCGAGTCCAGGGTCGATCCAGGAGCCGCCGAGCCGAAGCCGACCTTGCCGCCTTTCAAGTCGGTGATGTTGACGGAGCCGATGTTTCCGGCAGCGTTTCCAGTGGTTTGGTAGAGAGTGGTGGTGGTGGTGGTGCCATCGGTGATCTGGTGGAGCTTGGCGGCGTCGTAGTAGTCGAGGAGGACGTGGAGGCGGAGGGCGTTCTTGATGACGGAAAGGGGGTGTTTGGCTACGAGGGCGGACATAGCCGCGTTGTTGAGGACGAGGACGGTGATTGTTTGGCGACTGTTGATCTCGCCGTCGAGCTTTGTTTGGGAGAGGTAACTGTTGAAGAGACTGTAGTCTGAGAAACCGGAGAGGAGAGCTGTGATGTTGTGGGCATTTGTGGTGGTTGTGAAGATGGAGAGAGAGAGGGTGACGAAGAGGAGGTGCATTGTACCCATGGTGAATGTCAGCACTAGTAGAGGCTGTGAACTGAAACCACAACTAGAAGAAGAACAATGTTTGTCGGAGAGAGAGTGAGAGGTGGAGAGGGTATTAGAGGTGGTGGATTTTAACTAGGGTTAAGGTGATTAACTATGGTTAGTAGGGGATGCTATGCCATGCCACTGCCAGGTGAGAGTATGGCTCTTTAACCTTTATATTTTTCAATTTAAAATTAAATAAATAATGTAGGAATAAACTTTATTACTAAATTATGATAAAATTTGATTATGGAATTTGGTTTTTCTACTTGAACTTTCAACTAGACCAATAATTGAGATTTTATAGCTAAGAATTATTAGATGAATGTTTTTTATCGGTAAAAGTTATTAAACGAAGATTTTTTATTAGTAAAAATTTATGAAAACACGATCTAGTTAAATTTTTTCAAAGATTTTTATTGATGAGAGTTTTCCGTTTAATGACTCTTATCGGTCAAAATTTTTTGCTTAATGATTCTTGTCGTTCAAAAATCTCAACTATTTGGTGCAATTGAAATTTCAACTGGAGACAAATCATTCCCTTAATTGTGATATACACGAATGAATGTCTTATGCTTGTGTGCTAGATATTGTTTGTGTGTTGAAAATTGAATTAGTAAAATATAAGCCTAAACATGAAATGAATCTAAACGATAAATTGATATTTTTGTGTAAAATTTCTAAAATTATAGTATTATTATAGCATCTATTGTTGCAAAATGAATTAAGTTATATGAGCTCAACCCATGTTTAATTTGTTAATAATTCATTCAAAATTGACTTATTATTTAAGTAAATCTGAATATATTTTAAAACTTGATAGGTTTTTAAACTATTTCGATCAAGCTAATTACTTAGCTTGATAAGTACATATGCACTATAAAAATTAAATTATTCAAACTCAACTCGTATTCGATTTTTTAAAATCTCTTTTGAGACTGATGCATTATGAAAATAACCTAGGGACGTTTTGACAACATAATAAAAAGTCAATTTATTAACTTTTAGACTTTTTTTAGGCCATGTTACTTCTTTATTTTTTTTTACACAAAAAAGTCAAAAAGTCACAAAAAAAAAATTTAAAAGTTAATTTTTTACCAACTTTCTAAAACACTACCTAAGTTTCAACAATTTTAAAACTTAATAAATTTTTAAGACAAATTTAAATGAACTATTACTCGACTTAATTTGACTCGTTTGTAATCTTAATGGAATCATATTATTCTTCAAAAAGTAGTGTTGTACTCTAACTAAAACAGTGATTAATAATCAAGCTTGGGGAAATTTTTTCTTTTCAAAGTGGAAAAAAAAAATGTGATTGTTAATTATGTTTTATTGCAATTAAAAGGTAAAATCTATCTGTATATTATTTATTTAATTTTAAATTAAAAAACATGTACTGGTTAAACGAGAGTAATCTTTTTTGTCTCTTGCCGGGTCACAGGTTCTCACAGCTGGAAATCTAAAGTTTGTTGTTGGTATGTAATGCCCATCTTTTGGTAAAAGACGGAAATGTCCATCTTTTGGTAAAGGGCAAATTACATATACACCCCTCGAGGTTTGGTTAAATTACAGATACCTCCCTGAGGTTTCAGAAATTACATCCCGCCCCCTGAGGTTTGTATTTTCATAACAATTTACCCCCTGAGGTTTATATTTCATAACAAATTACCCCCTAATTTCTTATGCAAATATAGCATTCAGGGGGGAATTTGTAATTTCTCAAACCTCAGGGGGTATCTGTAATTTAGTCAAACCTCGAGGGGTGTATATGTAATTTGCCCTTTGGTAAAAGACGGAAATTCCCCCCCCCAAAAAAAAAAAAAAACATATTTTGGACATATATTGTTGTTACGGAGAGGAATAAGGACCTTTTCCCTTGATTTGATGATGGGTTTGTAACGGTTCGTAACCAATGGTCAAATGCATAGTTTAAATTTTGCTCTAAATGTTTGCACCTTCATTCAAGTTTGCCTTGTTGACTCGTATACCATTGAACATGTTTTAGAGAATTCAGTGTTGCTTTACGCTATGTTTGGAGTATAGATTTTGATATAGAGAAAAAAAAATATTGTGAAATATAATTATATTTTATTGATATTTCATTTATATTTTTTTTTGGTTAGAAATTGTCTGAAAATTCTGAGAAAAATCAGAATTTTTTTCTAACTTTGATCTATTATTTAAGTGAGATCCGTGCGCCAAAATTGGCGGGTCTAAGTGGTAACACGTTCTATGCCGCGTTGTGATTCACATGGTATATTTGGTTACTTAAAACCATTATCGAGTGAATGGAAAATTGAAACTAAAGTGTGTTCCATGGAAATAGAGTTTTGGTGGAAAATCCTTAAATGTTTGAAAAATGACTTGTCCCACATTGATTTGGTGGAAAGTTTTGAGTGAGTTTATAAGGCATGGGATTAGAACTTGGGGTGTGCCCTAAGGGGTACCCAAGTTTTGTAGAGAGAGAGGTTATGAGAGTTTTGTAGAGAGGGAGGTTATGGACTAGACCCATTGGATCCAAAAATCACCACATGCGCGCTGCCGCCGCCCGATCGGTTGGGCCAAGCTGGGTTTGGGCTTGTCCAGCCCAATACCTATCTTTTTAAACTAAAAGCATTTGAAATTTATTTTTCTAAAATTAAATTCAAAATTTTCCAATTTGTTTTTCGGAAATTAAAATTCAAAATTGGGTCCGTTTTTCTCCCACCCGAACAGATTTGAATCTGTTTAAATTTCAGAAAACCCAGACATATTTAAATCTGTGCAATTCGATTTTATCTGTTTGAATTTGAACCCAAACAGTACCAATTCAAACCAACAGGTTCAGTATCTGTTCAAACAGGTATGCTACCTGTTCAACTCAAATTAAAAGGGTGTCACTACATCTATAAATAAACTAGCCCTCATTTGATGTTTTGATTCAATTTCGTCCTAAATATTGTCTGTCTTCTCTGTATTTTTGCTACATTATTTTCCTTATAAGAAAAGTGTAAACACTTAGTGTGTTCGTTGTTCGAATAAATTGTAATGCTGTATTTATTTGTTGATAAATCATTTTATCCTAGGAGATAGACGTCCATATTCTGAGAGCACCGTGGAGAGGACGAATCTGTCTTAAGGACACAGTGTCGAACACTGAACTTGATCATAATATTATTAAAGAAATTAATCAAGCAAGTTGGTTACTATTTATTTTCTATTTTTTATTTATTTAAATCAGATTTTGGTTTTATTTTTGTAACAAAATAAAAATCTATTTTTATTTATTTTATTTTATTATTCTAGTTTGATTTTTGTAATCAAATATTCTCTCTCTTTTCCTATTTTTCTTTTGTAGTACACAAACAAAATTTATTTATTTAAATACAGTGAAAATTGTCCAACATTTTTTTTCTTTTCAAACTTTTAATCAAATTCATTCTCCAAACATAATTTAAAGAAAATATTTGAGACTCAAAAAAATTTCATAATTTGACTTATAATGATGTGATACGATAGATATCAACTTTTGATTTGTTATATATACATCTAATGATAAAAGGGTCAACTCTATTGCCACTTCATTTTAATTGAATTTGTGAGTTTAAAATCAGGAGTCTCTAACATTATTCTATGAGTAAACCTGTGAACTCAGAAAAAATAAATCCAAATTTTATTCAAAATGAAGATGGATGACTTAAATTCAACTTATGTATTATGAGCCCATATTTAAAACACATCCAAACCTTCATTTATGTTTCTGGATGGATTTATGAGAGAAAAAATTGAGTTTATAGTACCACTATAATGTTATAGTAGTAATTTGGTGGTCAATGGAAGTTTATAAACACACCTCCTAATAAATATTCCTATGCATTCTTCTGTACAACATTTTTTCCCAACGTTCGGTGAAAAATATTTTTTATAGAAAACTTTTTTTAGAAAACATTTTTCATAAAATATGTTTTCTTATGTTTGATTGTGTTTTTGAAATTAATGTATTAATAGTTGTATTAGTGGCGGTGGTAGGGTGAAAGTAAAAATCGAGCTTTGTTTGGGAGAGGTAACTTTTGAACAGACTGTAGTCCGGGAAACCAGAGAGGAGAGCTGTGATGTTGTGGGCATTTGTGGTGGTGGTGGTGGTGAAGATGGAGAGAGAGAGGGTGAGGAAGAGGAGATGCATTGTACCCATGGTGAATGTCAGCACTAGCAGAGGCTGTGAACTGAAAGCACAACTAGAACAAGAACAATGTTTGTCGGAGAGAGAATGAGAGGTGGAGCGGGTATTAGAGGTGGTGGATTTTAACTAGGGTTAAGGTATTAACTATGGTTAGTAGGGGATGCTATGCCATGCCACTGCCAGGTGAGAGTATGGCTCTTTAACCTTTATATTTTTCAATTTAAAATTAAATAAATAGTGTTGGAATAAACTTTATTACTAAATTATGATAAAATTTGATTACGGAATTTGGTTTTTCTACTTGAACTTTCAACTAGACCAAATAGGTGAGATTTTTATAGGTAAGAATTATTAGACGACTGTTTTTTATCGGTAAAAGTTATTAAACGAAGATTTTTTATCAGTAAAAATTTATGAAAACATGATTTAGTTAAATTTTTTCAAAAATTCTTATTGATGAGAGTCTTCCGTTTAATGACTCTTATCGGTCAGAGTCTTCCACCTAATGAATCTTGTCGCTCAAAAATCTCAACTATTTGGTGCAATTGAAATTTTAACTGGAGACAAGTCATTCCCTTGATTATGATATACACGAATGAATGTCTTATATTTGTGTGGTGAAGATTGAATTAGTAAAATATAAGCCTAAATATGAAATGAATCTAAACGATAAATTGATATTTTTGTGTAAAAATTGGAGTAAAATTTCTAAAATTATAGTATTATTATAGCATTTATTGTTGCAAAATGAATTAAGTTATATGAGCTCAACTCATGTTTAATTTGCTAAGAATTCATTCAAAATTGACTTATTATTTAAGTAAATCTTGATAGGTTTTTAAACTACTTCGATCAAGCTAATTACTTAGCTTGATAAGTATATATGCACTATAAA